TGGGGAGAGTTCTACTGATTTTTAAAATATTGTTTTAAGGCTAAGGCCTATGGGAAAAATTCCAAGCTCCTCAGCATGGCATTCTAGGCACAAGCATGATGCTCCAGGTGCTAAAACTTCTACCTTGAAGCAAGTGCAGCAAACCCACTCACTCAGCTCTGCCAGTCTTTACAGATGCTGGTCCTTCTGCCCAAGACTCCCTTTGCCCCTTTCAGGCTCAGTCCTTCTTCTATGATGGTCCCAGGACTTGCCCCTACGTCTTTAGCAGCCCAGATCACTCTGGAGTGACACTGAGTGTTTTTACAAGTCTTCCCCACCACACTGTGGTACCCATAAGGGCACGGCCTGTGTTTCAGTCTTTGTTTATTCCCTAGCGCCGGGACCACGGCAAAAGTTCCTCCCATGGTGTGAGCTCAAGTGTCCGTGATGGAGAAGGATGAGGTCAGAGGCTCTGGGCTGGCTGTCTGGCATGAGCCTCAGCCTGGGCCAGAAATGACTGGCATTCTCGGCGGGCTTCGACCCAGCATCCTCTACCTGTGACCACCACCGCTCCAGCTCTCTGTGAACCCAGCTACAGCAGGCCCCCAAATTCCTTTCTCATGGAGAAGCTACAGCAGTTTGAGAGAAGAAATGTGTCAAAGGAACTAAGAAAAATAATACAAAATAAAAACACACACAGAGTTTCAAGAAATAGACTTGCTGGGTCTAAAGCAGAAACACTTACCTCTGACCCCCAGAGCTGACCCCAAATTTTCCCAATGCCTTTTACCTGCTGGGCCCAATGGGTACCCCTTGGTCCAGTGGCTCTAATCCAGAAGCCTTATTCTGGGGCTGCAGGCCCTGAGAAGCCTCAAACAGCATCCCAGTAGGGGTTTCTTTCTAATCTATATGGTTAAAATAGAATAGAAACCCACGCAAGTCAGGAGCCCATCCAGACTGGCCTCTGCTCAGTGCCACTTTCCTGGGTTGAGTGACTCCCCTTTTTGCCCAGGTTAATTCTGAGAACCTCTCCTCCAAATCTACCCTGGGAAGAGTCTTCTAGAACCATGAAGATCTGCAACACTAAAGCCTTTCAACCATCATGAAAAAGAATGTGGACCCCAATGCATCCCAGAGAAGAAAGGTGTTTCGCAGTAAAGGCATAGCAGCTGGGGGACAGCCGGAGTAGAGGCAGGAGTTGAGAGGTGGGACCTGTGTCTGCATTTGGGAAACAGTAAGCTCTTCTGTGTCAGGCAAGCAAGGGACTCGCACAGCAAGGGAATGGAGGGAAGGCTGGCAAGAGCATTCGGATCAGGCATCACAGGGCCTAGACTGTCCCTAAACTGGGTCCCCAAATGTCTACTTGGGGAGCCACGAGAGACACTTGAAAGTTTCTAAGCACGTGATGGCCTGATTTTAAAAACTATGGCCAGAGGATGAAGGGTGATTGGGGGTGGACATCTTGGGGCAGGAAGAGAACTAAGGAGGCTGTCATCAGACCGGGGCAGATCCCTCTTTCAAACCAGGGTGGAGTCCAGTGGAGGACAAGTGTTTCATTGTTAAAGATATTCACTGTGGGCACTGGGTGGGGAGGAAGACGTGGAGGGCGAATCCTTAAGATTTGAGACAAAGAGGTGGCTGTGGGAGGGGCGAGGAAAATACCAGAGATGAATTCCTGAGCCCCAAACCTGGTAGGCATCAGGAGGAGGTGCCATGGGCAGACACAGGGGAACCAGGAGGAAGAGCTGGTTTGTATGGACTGGGCATGAACATGGTCTGGGCACATAGAGATGAAGCACCCCAACCCCAGCTCAGGGGCGCAGCTACTTGAGAGAGGGCCGCTGTCTGGAAGCAAGTGCCCCCCCTCCTCCGCAAGGGTCAAGCCCAGCTCTGTCCTCACCAGTGGATGTTCAGGACTGACAGAAGCAGATGGGGGCCCACCCTAGGACATCATTTCCTCAAAGATGGCCTCTGAGACTGTGGGAAAGCATGAGTTCTCCCGAGTGAAGGAAGGGGAAAGGGAGCAGGACGCAGCAGGCTGGGGCACGGAGGGGTACACGAGGGGAGACAGTGTGCTCTGGTCACCAGGATGGTGTGTGGAGGAGGGGGTGGTGTGCAGAGCCCAGTGAGGCATGGGGGTCAGAGGGCCTGAGGCCGAGAGAAGAATAGACAGCAGCAGAGCTGGAAGGGAGCCAGACCACTAGGGCTGTAAGAGCAGCTCGCTGGGGGCCGGCAAGGCAGCCTCGGTGGAGTGCGCTTGTGGACTCTCTCAGAAACAGGAGGAGCTTCAGTTGGAGGAGGAGGAGGCAGGGACAAAGGAGTGTTCTTTGAAGAATGGGGAGGTCTGAGCAGAGGAAAGGAGGATCCGCACGCAAACAGATCAGATGGGACAACATCAGGAGGTGCAGAAGATGGGACAAAGCAAAGAGGTCGCTGAGTCCACATGCTTCTCCGGATACAGGGGTAGAAGAGAATGGCTGAAAAGACCAAGAAAGGTTGAAAACCATGGACAGCTGAGAAAGACAGCAGGATTCTGCCAAGATTCCCTGTAATCTCTTCACTAAAGAAGAGGTAGGGTATCTGCGGGAAATTTAGAGAGCCAGACGCAGGTTTGAAGGTTGGACAGAGGGGTGGAGCAAGTATGGAATAGCATTCGGGGTTTCTCTAGAGCAAAGCTTCTCATAGGTAATGTGTATGCAAATCACCTGGGATCTTATTAAAAGGCAGGTTCGGATTTAGCAGGTCTGGGCTAGGCCTAAGCTTCTGCATTTCTAACAAACTCCTGCTTAATGCCAAAGCTGCTGATCCAGGGACTACATTGGGAGGAGCATGGATTTAGAGAGTCAGATAAGGAGATGGAATGAGACTGGCTTAACAATTCACTTTAAGGAGAGACCTACCTTTGACAATCTCACCTGGAATAAAAACTGAGACGTCTGGGTGGGAGTGACAGCCCTTGCAGGTGATGGAGAGGTGGGCATGGAGAGGGAAGGATGGTAGAGGACAGAGGTCAGAAGGAGGTGGGGTGCCTCTGGGATAGTAGGAGGCCCAGCAATGTCCCTGGGACCCATAATTTGGGTCCATGTTGGGTGGATCGCTAACTGCACACTTAGAGGCCCCCCAAAAGAGTATGGGAGTCAGTTGAGGCAAGAAAGTGGTATTCCTGGGGTGTCTGAGAGTGAAGCAGCAGGCTGGGCGGGCCACCCCCATGCTGTTCTGCAGGGAAGTGCTGGACTCATTCTGGGCTTGCTCAAAGCCCGGCCAGGATACACCAGGCCAGAATGTGGGGAGAGGGGCAGAAACGGCTCAGCCCTCAGGTCAAGGGTGGGATGGTTTCTGCGAGGAGCTAAGAAAAGGGGAATGAAATCAGAGAGGGAAGATTCTCTGGATGGGGAGAAAGAGGAAGTCTGAGTCCACAAGTATCCAACTTGTGTCAGAAATCAAGAGGTTTCTAAAAGGCACAGGTTGGAAACGATAATGCTTTAGTTTTAGGGAAGCCAGGGACTGGACTAAGGATGGCGAGTGCATCGACGCCGCTTGGCATATCTGGGGCCCAGCCTAAGAGGAAAAGGTTTGAGCCCTAGGCTGAGGTTAAACCGAGGTCAGGCTTGCCAGGGGAAATGCGGGGAGGGCTGCCAGGGCGAGCAATGAACACCAAGAGTAAAAGCTTGAAGGCGTCAAAATGAGCAGCAAGTGCAGGAACTGGGCGTCGGTGTGGAGAGTACGGTGGGTCTTGGGAGACGAAGATGAGTCGCGAAGAAGCCGGGACTTCGTCCAGTGGCGACCCGGAGGCAGTAGACGTTGCTGAGTGCTGCGCGGCACGATCCTCTAGCTTCGGCCGGGCTCCCCCGCCGCGCAGCCCCGTCTGCTCCCTGTCCCGGCCTCCTGGGCGCCGCCGGTCCCTCCGGTTCCTTCCCGTGGCCTCGGCCAGGCCGCAGCCCCCAGCCCCGGCGACCGACTCGCCAGGGTCCGCCCCGCCGCGGCGGCCCGGGCCCGGCCGCTCCTCCCCC